ATACGCTTAATCTTCTCATTCAGTTCTGCAAATGTTGGAAATTTTGGTACTTTTTTAGGAAGGCGACTCACAGGCTCAGTCCGCTCTTATGCACGTGCGCAAAATCCTTTCGAAACCGTTTGTGCCCGAAGTAAGGCTGACCCCATGTTGTGATGCTCCAGAAGATAATGGAGAAATCTGACCGTCGCCCAATTCGTGCTCTTCGCAGGCTTGATTTTATATACATCAAATACATCTTTTCTACGAAATATCTATCCCTCTTTTACTTCATTCGCGTGTACTTTATCACACTCATTTTGTGTGATCAAGTGTACATGATGTTACTTTGTAGTTTTCCCACTTCTGCGTAGTTTATTGTGGTTTGCATATTCAGCTAGGTGGTTGCAGATAGATGTTATATTATGCTTGAAACAGGCTATGAACAGTTTCCAAACTTTATCGCCTGCTTCAGTAAAGTCCTTTTTCCATCTTTCTTTGCTGGTTGGTGCGCTGAGATGACCTGATAGGCAGTCACGTGGGCATGGTGACGTCTTCATCTTGGGTTCTCCCCAGCCTGTATGTTATTGCCGGGCTAGTTGTCGCTCACTGCTCCACCCAACTCACTCTGCTCTGTTATCCGTTCCATACCCACCTCTTGCTCCACTTTTTTCTTAGCTCTTCTGTAAATTGTTGATAATGATGTTTCTGGAGTAGGATGTTCTAACGGTTAGCCATCACCGTCAGATCGAATGTCACCCTGATGGCTAATAGGTCTTGATGTTTTTAGGTAATTAATATAATGCTCCCCTCTTTTTGTTTTCGACATATAGTGCTCACATCATCGACTACGATTTTGTGTGATGTACTGCTCGTCGTTTATTTGTTCTAATAGTGGTGATAATTTTGTAGCAGATTTTAGTTTAAACAGCTCTACTATAACGCTTATTTTACACAAAGCGGTTTCTTCCGTTTTTATTGATTTTTCATGTGTTGCTTTTGTAGTGAGTTACCACGACTTCTCGGTACCATTGAACGTTTGAACAACTTTTTACTATTGCCCTCTTCTCACTGAGAGCACACAAAGAAATGCCTTTTCTAAAAGATCAGTTAGTCGCAATTATTGAAGTCATCGACCCTCTTTGATGACCCCTATCACCCCTTTGCAAGTTCGGATGCGCTCAAATGAGACTGTGTAAAGCAGCCCAGTATTCCGGATGTTTTTGCTAATGCACTTTCAGTCACGTATGTCAGATTCTGATGACGAGATCCCGCGATTGCCAGCGGATACATTAGCCATCTTGCAACAGTTCCAGGAAGAACAGCGCAAGATTACTGAAGGTTTTGCGGATGTCATTACGGAAGATTGGCAGGTACTTTTCAT